AGGGTGTGTAGAAAGCTTGGCTTCCATTGTTGGAGAAACCCAAGCCTCTGAACTGCTCTCTGTGGCTGCAGTCATCTTGGTTGGGATTTATTTTCATACTCATTCTGATTGGCTGGTGGGCATGACTGGTGGGTGTGGCCTGAACAGAGTGAAGGCTAATTTGCATATTACTCTATTATTAGGTAGGATTTGAAAATTCCTTTGATGTACAGTGAATTCTTTCACTGCTTTTATATAGTATGAAAATTATAAACTCTGTTAATCAAATATATTTATTCAGAAGAATGCCTGAGCAGAAACACAATGTGTAACAATAAGACACAGGATAGATGAAAATGCTATTGTCAGTAGTTTTGAGATTTAAAAATTTAGGAGGGAAAAAAAAAAAAAAAGAAAATTTAGGAAGCCTGTTGACCTGAGTTTCAAAATAGTGTCATAACATAATATACTGGCCATGTTTAGTTTAATGATGTTTATATTGTCTAATGCAATTCCCATCAGCAATGGAGTGGATATGTGATGTAGAATAGACTACATTTTATGTTATCCATTTAAATACAGCTGTGCTTCAAGACATAACAGTGAATGTTAAGTTACATTTTGGTCCTCTGGGAACCTTTAAGATTTAATAGGTTATGAGGATTATGGAAAGCCCTTGACACTTGAGTGCAGGCATGTCTGTGCATGAATGACTGTGCTTTCGGAAGGTACACACAATACTTTTGTGATCACTTCGCAGAGTTTTCAAAGAACTAAAAGATTGATAATCTAGGGAGATAAAAATCAGGTACCTGCAAGCCTCAAGTACATTCTGTATAATTATAGCTCCAAGGAGCTAAAGAGTGTGCTCGATTAACAGTGCATGTTGTGACGCATTTACATCCGGATACAATAAATGCTAGATTAAACAAGAAAACATATCTTCAGGGAGTTTAGTGGACAAAGTAGACATGTCATTACGCTCTATATAAAGTGCAATTAGAGGCCAGGAAAATTCCCAGTGTGCTGTACAAGGCTTTGAAATGTGGGACCTTGACCTACTGTTCAGTTGAAATATAATGCAAGCAGCTTAAGTAACTTTAGAGGTCCCAAAGTGATTAAATCATGTATTATTTAACCCAGTGTACACAAAATATTATTTATTTAACATGTAATCGATATAAAATGATAAGTGAATTTTTTTATTGGTAAAAGGTCTTCACAATCTGGTGTGTATTTCACACTTGCAGGACAACTTAATTTGGACAGGCCACATTTTGCATGCTCAGTGGACACCTGGTGGAGAAGCTACTAGTGGTTCTTGGGCTTTAGTCTCCTTAGTACTGAGAGCAGAGATTTTATGCTGTTCCAATGCATATGTCCATGGTAATTTTTTTTTTTTAGTGTGCTGAAATCTCTGTTTTCTGAAACCTGGAGTCCTCCTTTATTTTTAACTCTGCTAGGCATTCAGTCGGGAAGAGGAGGAAGCGGGGAGGGTAAGAAGCACTTGTTGACTCAGTGAATGGATGATTAAACTTCATAGTAAAAGAAGTCAAAGTGTGGACTCCCTAATAATTATTAAGGGAATAAGACTGATGATATTAAAGGGGCAATAAAAGAGAGATTGTAGAAGTTTTTTAAAATCAAAATCTGACTTATTCTGGAATAGATGTGATATTAAGTAATTAAACATTTAAAAATAGAGCCAAATAATCTCCATAAACAGGAATTCCAGGATTTTCAGAATGATTTTTTGATTGTTATTAATCCTCACTCCAGGATATTTTCCCCAATGATTTTCAGAGAGAGTGGGAGGGAGGAAGAGAGACAGAGCGAGAGAAACAATGAAATGAGATAGAGACATTGATTGGTTGCCTCCCACATGAATCCAAAGCAGAGCCAGGAGTCCAGCCTGCAACCAAGGTACATGCCCTGGACTGGATTTGAACCCAGGAGCCTTTAGTCCATAGGCTGATGCTCTATCCACAAAGCAATACTGGCTAGGGCTCAGAATGATCGTTACTTCTGCAGATTTTAGTTTATTTGGTTCATATAACTATGAAAAAGTATAAACCCATCTTCTGTTACACTTCTTTCTCTGTAAAAGGAGAGTATGACAAGGAAATATGTTTTCTGGAAATCTGTTTGCCTTTAGTAACTATTTCTCTTTTCTTAAAGAGAAATCATAATAATAAAGAGCTAATATGCTAATGGCCAGGATACTATAATGCATAATGACCAATCTCAAAGTTGCTCCAGAGATTGGGTGAAGCTGGGAGGCATCCGGAAAAGAAGTTAGGACCAGCCCAAGACAATTCCAGGGACTGAGGGTGGGGCTTGAAGCAGCCAGAGAAGGACAGAGGGGTCAGGGGCTGGGCCAGGCACCCTTGAGTTCTGCCTGGAGAGGTCTAAATGTCAAGGCAGGGCAGCAGGTAGGTGGGCAGGGCCATGCAATTGTGCATACTGGGCTCCTAATATTTAATAATTTAGGATACCCAGAGAGGTTCATGAGTATCCGAAATTATTTTTGTTTGTTTGTTTCTGATCTTTGGGCTCCAGCAAATTCTGTGGCCTGTTAGTATTGCTTAGTAGTTCTGTGTGTTAAAACCAGAATGGTAGTTATCAATAAGAACAGTAATAATTTAATAACTACTATTTTTATTGTCACCTGCAAATTGTGTTTCTTGATTCTCCAGACATGACAAACATTCTTAAAGATAGGCATAATTTTAGCCTTTTTTGCAGATGTTGGAAAACTAAATTTTAGAGACATTATGACTAGATCATGGCCATATAACTTGCAAAGAGAAAAGCTGAGATTGGAATTCGGGTCTGTAGAATGCTAAATCTCATTTAGCTTCTGGAGCTGAATAATGTAATTTAAGGAGGTACAGCTGACTCTGATGAACTCTACAGTTAATGTTCATGGCATTACAAAAGCGGAGGCAGGGTTACTTTCAAGTAACTTCAGCAGCTCTGGGACTTGTGGGGGTATGTGGAAATCTTCTTCTATCTCTGAGAAAACCTGCATCAAAAACAAAATTATTGGGAAACAAGAACTCCTGCACTTTGTTGAATTTAGACCCCTTCAGTCCACAGAACCTCTGTGCGAAATGCGCCCACTCGGTAGCTCTAGCAAGACACAGACTGTCACTGGCTTCTGGTCAGAATTGAGAACGAGAACACTGGTCTCTTCAGTGGCTGTTAGGACACACAGAGTGACTGCTACCGTGACGACCTGTGCCCTTTAGTGCTTGGTGGCACTTCTGAAACATGGCCACATCTGTAACTGTGGAAATTAGTTCTGGCATGGCTCTGCCATTCAGCTCCCAGCTCAGAAGCTTCCAGTGAGAGGCCCTATGTCATGAAGAAAAAGGTATATAGACTTTGGGATCAGAGTGTGTGTAAATCCTGGCTGCAGTTCAACAGCCATCAAACTATTTCTTTACTTGTAAAGTGGAGGTTATTATCTCCTCTCCACATTGAGGATTACCTAAGATAATGTGTGTGAAGTGCCTGCCACCCTGCTTGGCACACGCCTGATTTATGGATTGTATTTTTACTGCTGAGATACCATTATAAAAAATATACTCCTCTAAATTACACAAGACACAGTGGCAGATACAGTTCTAAGCATTCCAAGGGACTGTGGTAAAGCTGTTGGGAAAGGAATTATTTACAGTCACAGATAAACTCTGTTAGGATGCAGTGCTTTATGGAACTGTGCTCAGAAGAGAAACCCTCCCTGTTCACCTTCAGAATTCCCCAAGGCTATCTCGCTCAGCTACTGGTGTGTCCACAGACTCAGCTTTGGAAATAGTGGAAATATTTCACCCCAGAGTCCCCTTTCTATCTCCTAAAGGTTTTTCTTCAGGGTGTGTGTGTGTGTGTGTCTCGTGCTAAGTTACAATTGAGATATCAGTTATCCATTGTATTCTTACCCAAAGCAGGTTAGGAGCTACTAGGAATGAGAAGTTCGGCTAGATTGCCTGAGCTCACTAATTAAGAATTGGAACTCATGCCGGCGCCGGTTTGGTCAGTGGATAGAGTGTCAGCTTGCGGACTGAAAGGTCCTGGGTTCGATTCTGGTCAAGGGCATGTACCTTGGTTGTAGGCACATCCCCAGTAGGGGGTGTGCAAGAGGCAGCTGATCGATGAATCTCTCTCATCAATGTTTCTAACTATCTCTCTCTTCCTCTCTGAAAAATCAATAAAATATATTTAAAAAAAAAAGAATTAGAACTCAAACTCTGATAACCTATATTAATTCATCCTAGTTCATAGCAAACACCTTGTAGAGCTATGCGCTTTTTACAAAATGTAGGATTTGCTGGGACCGGTTTGGCTTAGTGGATAGAGCATTGGCCTGCGGACTGAAAGGTCCCGGGTTCGATTCCGGTCAAAGGCATGTACCTTGGTTGTGGGCACATCCCCAGTGGGGGGTGTGCAAGAGGCAGCTGGTCCATGTTTCTCTCTCATCGACGTTTCTAACTCTCTGTCCCTCTCAATTCCTCTCTGTGTAAAATCAATAAAAGTATATTTAAAAAAAAAATAAAAAAAAATGTAGGATTTGTAGGATCCACAACTTTGTAAATGGAAGGAGTTTGAAGATCTTTCAACCCCATAATTGTATGGGTGTAGAAGCTGAGGCCCAGACAGGTTTGTGCATTTCCCAGTGGCCATACAGTAGTTAATGACAGCATTGCAGTAAAGGATGGATGGCTATATTTCTTTCTCCATCTAATGGGACACGAACCTTGCCAAGCAAAGAGTGTTTAGTGGCCAGCTACAAGAATTCAGTATTGCTAAGGACAATAAAAAACTCCAAACAAAATGCATAAGATAATTTGTTTCAAAAGTGCTGCAAGGTCTAAAGTGAGCATGTCAAAACTCCTGGCCTGTGAGTTTATTAGGTATGCGGTTCCCTGGCTGCACACAAGTTTGACATGCTTGGTCTTAAGTAGTGGTTCTCAATCTTCCTAATGTCGTGACCCTTTAATACAGTTCCTCATGTTGTGGTCACCCCCAACCATAAAATTATTTTTGTTGCTACTTCATAAGTGTAATTTTGCTACTGTTATGAATCGTAATGTAAATATCTGTTTTCCGATGGTCTTGGGCGAACCCTGAGAAAGGGTCGTTCGACCCCAAAGGAGTCGCGACCCACAGGTAGAGAACCACTGCTCTAACAGATTATTTAAGAGACTTGGAGTAGTAGATATGTTTTAAGTTGCTTATCTTCCTATAGCCCATCTTGATAACGGATTGTTCCATGGGTGATAACTAACTTTAAAGTGACTCATGCATGTACTGGACACCACCCTATAATTTGAATAACCTATGCATCCACATCTGTAAAATGAGATTAATACTATGTACCTCACAGGTTTTGAGGAATATACAAAGTAGGATAGTTAGCAGTGAGAACTAGGAACTGTAAGTTTGTGTGTGCTGGTGCTATAATCACATTACTCCTTCTCCTCTTCTTATGCTACTACTGAGAATTGACACTATTTACTCTACTCAGAGAACAATTTGAATTCTGTTCTTTGGCCAGCAGCTTTTACTTGCTGTACCTCTCAAGATGTATTTAGTCATCTTGGAGAATATATTTAGAGAATTTAAAGGACTGTCCTTTTAAAATCTGGTGTTTTTTGATCAATACTGTATTTAAATTAAAATATAAAAATACATTACTCAGCTTACTCCTGAGTTATTTGATAGTTATTCTACTTGTTAACTTTTCTTAAACATTAGAATAGAGATTAATGAATATACTATTTATCTTTAGGACTAATCCAGATTTTAGTATTTTAGTTTTATGTATGTCTCCAAGTAGGTATCTAAGCCTGTAGTTGACTAATTTTTATTTTGAAGTTATTTTTTAAAATGCTTTTGATACTCATGGGCTGTTACACTATTATTTTTCAAAGTCATTTGCATTTTCTGGAGTATTTTAAAACAGATAAATTTACTCATGTTAATTTAGTTACATACACTCAGGAATTTCTTACAGGTAAGTTTTTCCACCAATGCTTGACTGTGTGTGTGTATGACTGTGAATGCATGTAGGTGTGTATGTGTGTGCGCATGTGTGTGTGGCATGTACATGCTCTCTGGGGGAGTATTTTCAGTGATTCATGCTTGAATAATTATTTTAAATTATTTAATCTATGAGCATTAGAGATGTTAGAAATAATCTTAAATTATGGAGCATAGTGCAGTTCATGAGAAAGGTCTTTTAAAGTCATATTTTCATAGAATTAGCTTTTTGAATTCATATTTTAACATTCTTGATTTAACTTATATACTAATATAAATTCATTTACATTGCAAGACAAATGTACACACTTGTTTTAATAAATTATTCATATTTGTGCTGTATGCACATCTATATATTGGTATGACTGTACATATACGTATGAATGTTCTCAGATCAGATTTTAATGTACTAATTCCTAATGTATCCCATTCCCTGAAATGTTTTATCTTCCTTGCTTTTCAAGACTGAGCTTTGTGTCACCTCCTCTGTGAAGTCTCTGTGGGTTTCCTCAACTCTCCACTATATTTTGTTCTTTTACCAGAGCTCCTATGACTTATTAGGAATGTCAGCTTAATATGGGTTGGAGAATGTGGATTTTGATCACAGTTATTTTTATTGTTAAATGTGGCTATTAATACTAGGTCATTGGAATAACTATGCTTTTACCTGAATTTATTAAATAACATACGTAAAAGCCCTAGTCAGTGGTACATGTGGTAAACATTCAATGAATGCTATTATTGTTGTAGTTATTCTATAGAATGAAAGGCTAACATGAAAATTGATCATATGGTGGAATGACCAGTCGTTATGACATGCACTGACATCCAGGGGGCGGATGCTCAATGCAGGAGCTGTCTCCAGGTGGTCAGTGCACTCCTATAGGGGGAGCACCACTTAGCCAGAAGCCAGACATATGGCTGGGGAGTGCAGCTGTGGTGACAGGAGTCTCTCCTGCCTCTGTGGCAGCATGGCGGCATGGGGAGTGGGCCTAAGCCATCAGTCGGACATCTCCCAAGGGCTCCTGGACTGCAAGAGGGTACAGACCAGGCTGAGGGTCTCCCCGCCCCACCCCTTCCCAGTGCACAAATTTTGTGCACCAGACCTCTAGTTTATTTATACTTGTCTCACCTTTGTTGTCTCTCAGCTCCTTGAAACCAGGTACTGTGGCATATGTGATTTAATATCCTCAGTTCTTGGCAAATTGGCAATTCATGGATGAATTAATAGTGGACTATGTACCATATAATAAATACCACTATTGTAAATCAGTGGACCTTCATCACCTGATAGCAATTGCAAGGATTCTTTTTGAGTTGACCTCCAATTTTGGTTTTTGATATTTTTCAGTTTTTAAATGTTTCCCCCCCTTATAAACAATAACCAATTTAATATAATATTTGTTATTCTAAACAAATAGTATTTAATTTTCTGGTATTATTTAGTTATGAGAGGTGCATATGGTCATACAGTCCATTTGGCAGTCTACTAATTTGCTCGTTATTGAGAAATACTAATTGGTTATGTATTTATTATGGAAGCCAGCTATCTCTTGTGTACCAGATTATGAGCTATGTAAGACAATGATTGTGATGTCTGAAAGCACAAACTAGATTGATGAGTTCAACTGGTCAAAACTATTATTCAGTAAGGCACTCAGTAACCCATAAGATATTAATTTAAAATACAAAGTAAACTTTTGTTTAGGTATCACTATGTTAAATTGTCAGTAAAACAAATTTTCTCAGTTCTTTGATCTGTCTTTCAAATTATATTTTAAAATCTGCTTGTGCTAAAACTTCTTTTGGTTCAGATGTATAAAGAAATTGAATAAAAAATTATCCTAAAAATACATCGAGTCTGATATTTTCTAATTATTGTTAACTATTTTGAGAATGCAAATTTCATTTAAATGTCAACCATAATTAAGTGTTTGCCATTTGTTTTTCTACTCAGGTTTTACAGTTTGATGGAATGTTTCCCCACAATTTAATAAATATTTGTTTTATTTCACATGAATTAATTCAAAACTGGATAAGAGCAACATATTTTAATCAACTATTGTTATGATGGACTAGACATGAATTTATTTCTGAAGCAAACTGTTTATTATGCATTTGAATAGGATTTATCCAGCTTAGCTTTGGCAAGCTAAACATGGCAACAATTAATAGGCAAGCCAACTATGTATGCTGCATAATAAATAAGACAAATTATTTTTCTTGAATATGTCATAGATCTGTAGTGTGTAAAATTAGTAATTACCCCATAATATATACCTAGCTGTGTTCTGATAGCACCCATTGAAGTGAAGTAATAGAGAAATTCTACTGTGCAAAGTAGGCATTTTTAATTGGTGCCAAATATATGCTTATCATGATTTTATTTCCAGTTCTTCATTTGTCTGTGTATAAACCACACAACCATATTATACTTACACTAGAGGCCCAGTACATGAATTCGTGCATGGGTGGGGTCCTGCCATTCTGGCCCATTTGGGGCTAGATCTGGAATGGAATGGTTATGGGGAGGGGACATGGGAGGTTGGCTGGCTGGGCCCACCCTCAATACGGTAGGGGAGCCAATCAGGGGCAGGGCTGACCAGGACGAGGGGCTGCAGGCATTGGTGGGCTAGCCCTGCCTTCTGGCAAGCTTTGGTTGAAGGGACAATTTGCATATTAGGCTTTTATTATCATCCTATGTAATAAATAGGTAATATGCAAATTGCCCATCATACCCTCACACAAGATGGCCACCCCCATGTGGTCACAAGATGGCAGTTGGGGTTGACCAGGCCCGCAGGGGAGGGAAGTTAGGGGTGACCAGGCTGGCAGGGGAGGGCATTTGGGGGTGACTGGGCCAGCAAGGGGGGCAGTTTGGGGCAATTGGGCTGGCAGGGGAGCAGTTAGGTGTCAATCAGGCTGGCCCAGGAGTGATTAGGGGGTGATCAGGCTGGTAGGCAGAAGCAGTTAGGGCCAATTAGGAAGGCAGGCAGGTGAGCAGTTGGGAGCCAGCAGTCCCTGATTGTGAGAGGGATGTTTGACTGCCAGTTTAGGCCCAACCCCTATTTGGACATCCCCCGAGAGGTCCTAGATTGGGGAGGGTGCAGCGTTGGCTGAGGGAAACCCCTCCAGTACACAAATTTTATACACTGGGCCTTTAGTATAGGATAGCGTGCTAGGGAGTGGATTGGAGACCAGTACATAGCTAAGCACTCTATTAGTCCCTCTCTCCCACCAGACTAAAAAAAAACAAACTAAAGATCCCTAGCTGATTTGGCTCAGTGGATAGAACGACTGCCAGGGGACTAAAGAGTCCCAGGTTTGATTCCAACCAAGGGCACATGCAGACTTGATTGCCCCTCAGTAAGGAACATGCAGGGGGCAGCAGTCAGTGATTCTCTCTCATCATTGATATTTATATATTTATATCTCTCTTTCCCTTCCTCTCTGAAATCAATAAAAAAATATATTTTAAAAAATCCAAAGACTTTTAACATCTATAATAATAATAAAAGTGTAATATGCTAATTAGACTGGACAGCTGAATGACCTTCCAGATGAAGCTTGGGCTGCTAGGGCCAAGCACTTTGCATGAATTTTGTGCATCAGCCTCTAGTTTTATGATGATGGTTTAAAACATGTCCTGACAGAGGATTAAGAGAAGGATATCAATGTTCTTCTTATGGGAATGCAAACTTGCATGCGACCAAGATACTTTTGGCAGAATTTAGTTCTGTATGAAGTTTTATGTTGAAGTACAGATTGCACATGTTCATATGTATTTGTGTTGCAATTTATATCACATAAATTAGACATGTGAAGACAGAATATAATCATTTTGTTAGTCTTTTGCATCACAAATTAGGCTTTTTACTATGCAGTCCTGATAAAATGGCAATTATACTTGAATAAAAGCATAGCATAAATTACATTTCAAACCATAATATTGAGCACAGTATATGTAAAAGAAATGTTTAACTCATTTGCTATGGTTCCTTTCTTTTAAAGGTTCATTTATTCTCTGCATTGAATAACAGAGTGTAATGGGAACTGAAAACAGATTAAGAGTAATTTCCATGTCAGTATGTTTTTGCTTTAACTCCATCCTTTGAAAATGGGCTGTTTGGTCAATGAATTCTGTTCTTAAATGATTTCTCAAGCTTCTGGGCAAACCTTCCTCCAAATGGGACCTTAAAGTTTGCTCCTTATAAGTTATTGTCTGTTTTTTTGTTTGTTTGTTTGTTTGTTTTTCTTAATGAAGGATTTCTTGGGTTGAAGCATATTTTCAGGGAAACATAAAACTGGAAATGGGAAAAACAATTTAATAAATGGAGACTTTTCAATTGATTTTTATGATTCGAAGGAAATTTTTGAATTTGGGTTCTTAATGACCTCTGAATTCCCTTTCTCCTATTTCTATGAACTGTGAGGATCTTTTTGTGAGAAACATGCAATCATTGATAGAGCAGGAACTGAAGGAGTGTGCCTTGGGCAAGAGTAGGTCATTGCTTGTTCTAAGTTCTCAGTGAAGTTTAAGTGGAAAAGAGTTTGGACATTTGATATAAATCAGTGTGTGTGTGTGTGTGTGTGTGTGTGTGTGTGTAGTTTTATAAATGATATAAATGTAGGGAGTGGGAATAGGACATTTGTTGAAAACCTAATACGTGCCAGGTAATCTGGTATGTACCTCGTATACATTCTGCTTTTCAGTATTCCTAGGCCCTGCCCTCCAGTTTTTTATTATATCATTTTAAGGAAGAGAAAGAGGGGCATACAAAAATTAAACAATTTTACCCATAAACTGTTAAAGCTAATGTTCACTATGCCTGGTGTTCATGTTGGATTTCTGTTATTTTTTATTAACCCTTACCACTGGATTATATTTTTTTGTTTTATTTTATTTATTTATTTATTTATTTATTTATTTATTTATTTATTTATTATAAAGAGTAGAAGGGAGGGGAGAGAAAGAAAGAAAGAAAGATGTGAGAGTGACATCGATTGATTGCCTCCCTTACATGCCCCGACGAGGGCCAGGAATCAAACTTGCAACTCAGATATGTGTCCTTACTGGAAATCAAACCATAATTAAAGTGATGTCTATTAAAAGTTTGAACATTCTTAAGAATTATCATTCTTTAATCTGTAACTGTGAATCATGAGATTATATGTATTTTATTTTATTTTAAATATATTTTATTGATTTTTCACAGAGAAGAAGGGAGAAGGATAGAGAGTTAGAAACATCAATGAGAGAGAAGCATTGATCAGATGTCTCCTGCACACCGCCTACTGGGGATGTGCCTGCAACTAAGGTACATGCCCTTGACCTGAATTGAACCTGGGACCCTTCAGTCCACAGGCTGACATTCTATCCACTGAACCAAATCAGTTTCGGCTATATGTATTTTATACTAATACATAAATGTTACTTAAAATATTATTTTCTGTATTACAAAACAGAAAATAAGGAAGTATTTTTTTCTGTTTATTGTGAGAGGCATATCTAAAATCAGATATTCCTATCAACATGATTTGCTGTCTACTATGGCCTATACTAAAAAATATTTGAACACTATTTTGCTTTTCTATAGAAGATGATTTGTGTGCCATGGAAATCTGTGTGACTCCTCAGCAGTTAGATAGATGTCTCATGCTGTACAAGTTCAGAAGTGGTACAGTAGTGTCACCTGTCACCTAGCAACAAGCTTAGTGCTTTGTGCCGTTTCATTTAAGTCAAAACAGGTATAAAAACATGGTACTTAGATTTACATTTATCTCCAGAAATATTTAGATTAACCTTTAACTACCTTTAGTTCCCAAGATAACTCACCATGAAAGATAAACAGAAATAACTTTGCATAAAAAAAGGCAACTTATATATCAGAGACCTTGATACAGAGTAAGATCAACATGGATCTGTTATATAATATCTCAGACTTAAGTGCCTGTTGAGTTCCCTAATCACCTTTAAAAATTGTGGTAACTGAAATGGATGTGTATGTACAACTTTATTATTTGACTTTTTAAAAATCAGTGTTTGAAAATACAAGATCACAGCTAATAAAGCAGTGGTTTGTAAAGCAGACTCTAGAAGACAGCATTCCGAAAGGAGTTGCTGCATCAGCACCAGAATTCAATTTACTCGAAACAGAGCAACTAAATTACCTTTGTGCAGAGCGTGGAATACCCTGACTAGTCAGGTGTCTATAAGCCCCTTTACAATGTGCTTCTCCTTCTCTCTTTGAAGATCCATAAAGGGATTCTCAGGGGAACTAGCAACTAGTGAACTTATGGGTCCTCAAGTTTTAGAATGTATTACACACTAACCTTTAAAGATTGAGGATCGATCATTTAGGATGTAATGAAGAGCCAGTGCCCTGTTACTACTGGGGTGCTTGTACTCTGAGGTAATTATTCCAGAGTAACTCCTTATTCATTAAAGTGGGAGCATCCACTTTCATCCTGGCCAAGGTCATATCTGTTGTTCGGGGAACTCTTTAAATTCTAAAGGAAGCCTGGCTGACCACGGGTGGCAATTTTAAAGAAAAAACACACACAAAAACCACAAAAGTTAGTGAGTGAAGAATTTAGAAAATCATTCTCTATTGCTTGTAGCTATTAAAGAGAAACAGGTGTAATTAGAATTTCTCCAAACTTCCCACTAAAACATGAATATCTATCAGTTCTAGGCAGTAATAATTTTGCTTAAAAGTACATCTGAAATTCTTTTCAACATGTAATAATTTATTTTTTTCTTATTTGTCATGTTTTTCATATAGAAATAAGTGACCAAACCTTTGCTGTTCTTCAATTATTTTTGAAGCCAGGAAAAGGGAGGACCCAAAACCATTTGCGATGAGTTTTTGATGAGGACAGTGACCTTTAAAACTTCTGTGCTTTCGGAAGATTTACTGGATAATTTCACAAGCCTATTTGGCAGAGCTAAGGAATCTTTTAATTAGGAAATTGATGATGAGATATTAACTGATAGTGGAAATGTGCCATTTTCCTATTATATATCATGGCCTGCTTTTGATGTGCATTCGAGGAACAACACAAAGGCCCCTTACTTAGCATGAATAAGATTAGAGATTCATCTGTCTGTCTTGTGGTATTAATTTAGGGAATTCCTTTTTCCTGTTTAAACCCTGGGCTATGGATTGAAGAGTGATTATTCTCAAGTATGGCAGCATAGACTGTTGTATAGAATTACTTCAGTGAGGGTAAGTGGGATAGATAAAACAGGTATTGTTAATCCTCACTCCAGGATATTTTCCCCATTGATTTTTAGAAAGAGTGAGGAGGGGAGAGAGAGAGAGAGAGATCAATGTAAGAGAGACATCAATTGGTTACTGCCTGCACCCACCCTGACCTGGGTCAAAGATAGAAACTGCAACCCAGGTACATGCCCTTGATCTGGAATCGAATCTGTGGCCCTTTGGTGTGTGGGCAGAAACTCTATATTCTGAGCTGCATTTGCCAGGGCTGCTGCTGTGGGGAAGGAAAATGGGCCTCAGAGAGGGTGAGTGAGTTGCTAAAGATTACACAGCCAGTGGATGACGGAAGTGAGGCTGGGGCAGATCTTTTCAACTCTGAACTGTGTCTTCATTTATTGTCATTGGAGCTACTTAAAGTAGGTGTGCAGGATGAGAGCAGAGTCAGAAATGAACTTGAGTGCCCCCAGAGATGCTGGAAATAAATGGAAAACAATAGTTTGCATTGTATCAGCCTTTCGGCAGGTATAAAACACACAGAGATGTGCATTTACCTTAACCCACAAAGACCTGTGCTTTAAGATTTGGGACTAAGGGGATTTATATGGACCCTGGCTTCATGTAACTTATTACCTTGAATACAAAATTCACCTCTGATCATCTCTGTCAAATGGATCTTAAAATAGTTCATGGGTTCAATTCAGAGAACTGCTTTTCAAAACAAATGCTATCATTAGGTTACTTTGTAAATCCCCAAATGCTGTGAAGTGTGGCAGGGGTCCTCAAACTTTTTAAAGTGAGGGCCAGATCACGGTCCCTCAGAGAGCTGGAGGGCCAGACTATATGAACTACTAATTCCTACTGTAACACCTCGGCTGCGCTCACTGCCCAAAAAACCTGGCGGGCCGGATCAGACTCCTCTGCGGGCTGCATGTGGCCTGCGGGCCGTAGTTTGAAGACGCCTGGTTATGTATAATCCAAATAATACCATGTTTATTTTAGTCTGCAGATTTGTTGTAAAAAAACAAAGACAGATTATATAATTAAGGCTATAGTTACTTGGGTGTAAGAAATAACCACAATTGATATAAAAGGGAGTTTTCTTTATTTTATTTTTCTTTCACTTTTCATTATTAGCTTCACTCTTTTGACAAATACTTATCGATCCCTGAATTTTGTTAGGCCCTGAATTGGTAAATAAACATGAGAACCGCACTGTGTTAATAACAGTGTTTCTTTTCCTGGTAGGAATATAAATTGGTATAATCTGTTTAAAAAGCCTGAAAAAAATCATCTTATTTTGATCCAGTAATAATGTAATTATGTTCTGAGGAAATAATGGTGCAGGCTAGAGCCCCTAAGTATAGGCTGACTGGGTGGGGATGAGGGATAATGGGAATTCACTCTGGGCTCCAATCCCTAGTCCCTGCTTTCTGATGAGGGTCATTCTAGAGAGGGCATCCTTTCTAGTTGCACGAAGGGGTCATCCAGGCTAACAGAGGCTCTGGTGTACACAAGATTTACATAGAAGGGTGTTTAGTTGTTGTCAGTAATAGCAACAGATCATAACCTATTAGACAATGGAGTATTATGTATCCCTACAATGGGGTATTCTAAATTTTGGATTAAGCATTAATAAATTGGCTCATGTGAAAACACTCATGGTGTTTTAAAATGTGGAAAAAAATTACACAACCACATTTTGAGATATAAGGAGCCAGAATGTAAGATTGAAGCCAGTTTTGAAGTACTGGTACATTCTGTTAAGAAGCTGGAAGTGATTCATTTAGATATATTTTGAAGACTAGGAAGGACAACATGTGTTTGATAAGAACCTGGTGGTTTAAATGACTTTTAAATTCTTTCATTGGATTCCATATTATGGCTTTATAATGTAAAATAGAAGATTTAGACTCTAAATTTTAAGAGAATATTTTTAGTCTGCCTCTTAGTATTAAAATATTACATTTATATTATACTAGAGGCCCAGTGCACAAATTCTTGCAGAGATGGGGTCTGACCAGCCCACCCCAATTGGGGTCAATTGGGCCTGGCTGGCCTAGAGGAGGGGACGAGGGAGGTTGGCAGGCCAGCCTTGCCCCTGGTTGGGGAGGGGGGAGCGATTAGGGGAGGGACTGTGGCTGTTTGGCTGGCTGGCCCCGCCCCCTGGTTGAACTCCTGGTCAAATTCCTGGTCTAACTCCTGGTTGAGGGGACAATTTGCATATTAGCCTTTTATTATATAGGGTTGATTTTTTAGTAACATTTCTAATAGTAGTAAATGTTATAGTATGCATTGGGATGTATGTTTTTGAGACATAAAAGACATATATGAGAGAGAGACAGAAGCAGACAGAGACAGGCATATAAATGTGTGTGTGTGTGTGTGTGTGTGTATATATATATATATATATATATATATATATATATGCATATATTATGTGTGTATATATATGTGTGTGTGTATGTCTGTGTGTGTTTGTGTTTATTTATTTATTTGCTTAAAACTGGGATAATATTAAAGTCCAGTTCCCCTTACTGGCTACACCCATAGAACTTGTGAATTATAATATATTTCCTTTAGGGTATGGCTTTATGAGTGAGTGAACTCTTTCTTTTTGTTCAAATGTATGGAAACACATGCAAAGGAAACCTGGCCCAGTCTTGCAGTGCAGACATTGGCACAGAATGTCTAAGGACTCTAGGCGTGTCCCTTCTTGAATGTAGTTTAAAAAAAAAAAAAAGAAAAAGCCAATTGCTTCTAGTCTAATAAGCTGGCTTAAGTGAATGCCAAAGAAAATTCGCCTCATGAAATGGAAATTCTGAAGCAAATTACATAATGTTGAGGGGAAAAACAACACAAAATAGGAGGACTTTCAAGATATATCCAAATGGGGCAAATGGTCCATTTTAATTAGAACTCTCCAATCCAGCAATATTTAATTATATTTGGGAAGTTCCAAATGGTCCCTGGGATTTGGAAATTTTTGACCATATAAATATTTACTTTATATTTTTTTTGAATTTGTAAGAGGTGACATTTATTAACTTAGATCAGTTTTTTAAAGTTGTTTGGGTATTGATCAACATGGAGCCATAAAAATGTATCATATTAATTATTCTGCACATTTGTATCATCTGTAAAGAGGAAAAAGCAAACACATTTCCCCTGAAAACCAGCATGATTGAAAAATCTCTTAGTTGCTAAGACTAATGGAGCCAAGTGCCCCAGTTGGAGTATTTGTGAATTCTCTTTCATGTATTAGATTTACCTTTAAACCGCTTTTTACCAGTTGCTTCTCAAGCTTCTCTCTCTGTTGCATACCTTTCTTTTTCATTCTTCCCTCCCTGATCTTTCTCTAGATTTTCATTACCTTGTGTCCAGGATCTTTCTCAGTGTCATTGCTGGTGTTTGTGCTTTTCTTCCCTAATTTCTCCATTTTGCCTTTTACGTGGCTGCTAAAGAGCAAGCAAAAAACAAGCAATAGAAGAAAACATATTTCTCAGCTATTATGTTTATGTCATTCCACTAATAAAGAACTTAAAGAATTGCAGAATTATATTTTGTTTTCCTCCAATGCAAGTGTGTTATCAACATGTGGAACTTTTCCTCATTGTTTTATTTGTGTGCTTTTCTTGCAGGATCAATGTGACTCTAGAAACAAATGGATGAATGAGTATCCATATGAAGAGGAAAACAATAAAG